AGAACTGCCAGGTGCAGTGGTGCATGCCTGTAATCCCAGCAGCTAGGAAGGCTGAGGCAGGAGGATCATGAGTACAAAGCCAGCCTCAGCAAAAGCAAGGCACTAAGCAACTTGGTGAGACTCTGTCTCTAAATAAAATACAAAATAGGGCTTGGAATATGGCTCAGTGGTTGAGTACCCTGAGTTAAATCTTCAGTACAAAAAAAAAATCACATAGAACTATACAATAAAAAAGTAAATTTATTGTATATAACTTTATACCCTAATTTAAAAATAAATAAAGCTAGTATAGTTTTAGGGGGGGAAAGAAGCTCTGTTGCTCTCTGTAAACAAGAATCTTGAACTCTGAGGTCCTGAACATCTCTTGAACAGCTCCCTCCTTGCCAGAGGATGCTAGGGTCTGAGTCTTAGTGTTCTCTTGGTTTAATTGAAGACTTGTAGATTCCCAGACATCTCAATTGAAAAGGATCTTCGAACTGGCCCAGTTAGTGGCTGAGTGCTGGGATCAGTCTCTTCCAAGAACATTTTATGACCAACAATCCCAACCTCCAATGTGTGTCAGAGGCAAGAACCCTAGGGAAGGCTGCAGCTATTATAAGATATTGAGTGATACTCGAGCTTTCTTTTAAATCTCCATGGAAACACTGTCACCACATCATCTTCTGATTCTATTCACAGCTGGAGCTACATAACTGAAACTACAGCTATGGGCCTGTCCATAGCTTACTACTCCCTGGATGGCTGAGCTTCGGTTATGCTAGAGGCAGAAGACCACCATGCAAAGAGGATAGGCCACATGCACCATTAAATGTGGCTACATGAAGATGTTCAGGGCATGGCGTAAAAGCCACTGAGTCTTTGTCTTTTTTTTTTCCTACAGTATCTTAAAGAGCCTTTCCTAATAGAGTGTAAATGTTTATTTGGCTACAACTATGAAATTTATATAAAAAGACAACCAGCTAAAGAGAGGTCAATAATAGGAAAACAAATGCACTAACTAGCAGAGGAAAATAGATGCATATTAAACACACTAGAGGGAAATGTTCTCCTTCTGCTCTGATTTATACAATGTCTGCAGAGGCTTCCTAAGGCATGTGTTTTGGCTCAGGCTGCCTTCTGGGATGCTAGCTCTGGGAAAATGCTGAGGTCCGCTTGGCTTCCCCGCACTATGAAGACACATAGTGACTTAACAGTCAAGTTTCCTCACCCTACTGTCTTGAACTTTTCTCCAGGAGCAAGATTAGTGTTTCTGTTCACCCTGAGCTCTTGAAGAAAAATAGCAAAATAAGGAAAATAAATCCCTGAAGACTTTGATGGGGATGAAGAAGCTGAGGGTGGATTCCAGCTTGGTCCAAAGTCTTTTCTCCCTCCTTTTTGGCTTGTTCTGACTGGAGGGGGATCATCAGGAAAGGAGGTTAAATCCTCTTGATTTCAGGTACTTAGGGACCTGCTGGTACCCCTCTGGATCAGGGAAGCTATATTCTGGACCAAGGAGGCACTTTGCAGTTTTTCAATTTCCTTCTGGGCTTCCATTAGGTGAGTCAGAGACTGTGGTCTTTAGTAAAAGCTTCAATGAAGTAAACAGCTGCAGCTATTTTCAGAAGAACAGTTCGGGCTTTGGTGGGAGATCTGTAGGTAATGTGTGTGCATTTGGGAGTGGAGACTGCACAATTGGAATGTCAGAGGGGGAGACAAGGCCCTGAGTAAGTCACCATTTAAAATAGATCTTCCAGGATGCTTATGTTGCCTGTCAAAAAGTGTGTGTGGGGGGGTGGGCAACGTGATGGAGAAATTCAGCAACTCCATGGTGCTAGGAGAGGTGCTCTGAGCTCAGCAAGGAGGAATTTTCCTTTTAATATTGACTGGAGTGAGTCAGGGACTTTACAAAAACAACATGGAATCTTCAAAAGGCTCTATACACACCCTCCCATTTCTGACAGTTCTTGGGATGCCTTTAAGTTTCCCTGACTTTCTTTGGCTCCTATACTCATCCAAGTAGGTGGTGCTAAAACAGACCAGCAACGAAGGGCAACAGGTTGGGCTGGCTCACTGGAGGACATTTAACTCTGAGGCCAGAGAGGAGCTCTAGGCAGCCCTGTGAAATTGCTCCCATTCATTCTGTCACCTTCTGCAGTCTTGGTGGCCCACTTGCTCCCTAGTGGATTTTCTTTTTTTTCTTTTAAAAAATTTAAAAATATTTTTATTTTATTTGTCTATTTTTTTTTTAAGTGGTGCTGAGGATTGAACCCAGGGCCTCATAAGTGCTAGGTGAGTGCTCTACCACTGAGCCACAACCCCAGCCCCCCTAGGGGATTTTCAATTTCAGTCTAGGTTGCTAATGTTGCATTACCAATTGTTTAATCCTTATTATTTTTTTTACTTAGAAGAAGCATGGTTATGTAGACTTTCATAGCTTTTAGTGATAAAAATTTTAACCCCTGCTCTACCAATAAGAATACTGATAACACTGAATTTTGTTATGGATGGAATTGGGTTCCCACAAAATTCGTATGCTGAAGTCCTAACCTTCACTGTGATTGTATTTGGAGAGAGGATTTTTAAAGAGGAAATTAAGGCTAAATGTGGTCAAAATGGTGGGATCCCAATAACCAGACTGATATTTTTATGAGGAAAGGGAGAAACACAAGGACTGTGTGTGCACAGAAAAAGGACCAAGTGAGGATACAACAGGGAGTTGGCCATCTGCAAACCAAGGAAAGAAGTCTCATGAGAATCCAAACCTGCTGACTTCCATCCTCCAGAATGGTGGGAATAAATCTCTGTTGTTTAAACAACCCAGTCTGTGGCATTTTCTTATGGTCACCCTAGCAGACTAATATTTCACTCCATGCTTGATACTGCTGAGTGTTTTACATGCAGTATGTTGTTTAATCCCTTAACCAAGTCTATGTGATTATCTCCAAATTAGAGTGGAGGAAACAGTGGTAAATAAGTGCTGGGATTTGAAGTCTGGTCTACTGACTGCAAAACCCTGCACATAAGTTGGACACTAGACTGCTTCACAAGGAAGTGTGTGGCCCAGGCTGCTCTCAGAGAGGGGGTCTGGTACAGCAGCAGGAAAATAATAATCCTTATTATTTTTTTTACTTAGAAGAAGCATGGTTATGTAGACTTTCATAGCTTTTAGTGATAAAAATTTTAACCCCTGCTCTACCAATAAGAATACTGATAACACTGAATTTTGTTATGGATGGAATTGGGTTCCCACAAAATTTGTATGCTGAAGTCCTAACCTTCACTGTGATTGTATTTGGAGATAGGATTTTTAAAGAGGAAAGTCAAATGACCCAGATTCCATCCCTGACTCTGCCACTGACTGTCATGGGCTGAATGGTAGCCCCCAAAGAAGATATGTCCATGTCCTAAACACTAGAACTTCTCAATATATCTTGCATGGTAAAACTGTGAATATTACCTTAAATGGCAAAGCTGCAATGAAGATTGCAGAGGAGGAGATGAGAAGAGGAGCTTCTCCTGTTTTATCCAGGTGGGACTCAAATGCCACCACAAGTGCCATAAGAAAGAGACAAAGGGAGATAACACAGATGGAAGAAAAGGCAGTCACACAGAGTAGAAAGCAATATGAAGACAGAGCAGCAAGAGAGGTAAGCACAAGGGAGGAATGCCAACAGCTTGGTTTTGGACTTCCAGCCTCCACAATGGTGGAAGAATCAATTCCTGTTGTTAGCAACATCCAGTTTGTGGTACTTGGACACCCCAGTTACTCCCATAGGAAACTAGGATGTTAGGTAACACCAGTAGTCGGGGCTTGGCTGCTTGGCTGCTACCCTGGAATCACCTACCATATGAGGTCATCCATACTTCAAAGAGTTTTGAAGTTTGAGCATCACCCCAAGGTAACAAAAGCAGGAAGTTTAAGAGCCCTCCAGGTGACTGTGATGGTCCAGGGGCAGCCCCCTGGTTTCTGTGTCCAGACCCTCAGGGCTCCCAGAGTCTGTGATTGGTGCAGAAAAGAATCCAGCATTCCCTGTCATCACCTTCTCACAAAGCTTTCAGAAATGTCACGAGGTTTTGAGCAGGGAGAAAACTAGGACTTCTAGAATAGAAATGGGTGGCCAGGGAGTCCTCCCCAGACTGCAGAGGGGGAACAGAGACTTGCGGGAGAATGGGAAGAGGCCAGCCGGCAGCAGGCGGGCGGGTGGAAACGAAGCCGCCTGGGAGGTCTGGGGAGCCTTCAATAACATGGGATCGGACAAGGAGTGTGGAGAGGGCTGTGGGGCCAACGGGAGGCACCTGTGAAAATAGCAAATACTTGAGCCAGAGACGGTACACATCCTGCCCTGGCTCCCGCAGGTTTCCCGCAGAGGCAAGGATCACAGGGCCAGGGTGATGTGTCTCCCACGATGTCAGCGTCCCCGAGGGCTCCTCAGGAATTTGACAGGGGAACTAGCTCAGGGGCTGCAGCGACATCTGAGAAAGGCATAGGAGAGGGACGGAGGGAGGGAGCGCGATAGTCAGATCATCATTCCCAAAGATATGGCTTTAACCTCTGGCCCCCTCCTGCCCGCCTGGGCTGGGAGACCCTGACAAGCCCAGAAACTTGTCTAGGAGGGAGGGGCGCGGGGGCGGGGGAGCAGGAGAAGGGGGAGGGGAGGGGGAGGGGAGGGAAGGGAAGGGGGGAGGGGCCTCCGCCGGGCGCCATCCCCTCTCCTCCACCACACAGCTGACAGACACTTGAGAACTTTCCTTCCCAAGCCCGTATCCTGCTGGTTCGGGGCAAAGTGTGCAGCTTTCCCACCAGGATCAGTGAGGAAATGGCCTGGTTTGGACTCAAACAGACTGATTTGTTTTCCCAACAACGCCTCAGCTCAGTTGAGGGAGCCCCAGTGATCCCGCTTTTCCAGGGTGCCTCTCCCTCCCCACCTCCCTCTCCTGCTCTGAGAACACATCACCCAGTGTCTGTAAGGCTTCTGCTTCTTGTTTGACATCCCTTATTTACAAAGCAAACAGAATGTTCCTTTTAACACACATCATGCTAAGTTTATTAATGCAGAAAACAATCCCAGGGGGCCGACCCGGGGGACCCTTGAAACCTGCCAGCACAAACTCTTCAAACGCTCAGCCCGTCAGATCCTCCAGGACAATATTTCACACAATGGAGTAAAAATAATATTTTTCTTTGGGCCTTTCCAGCCGCTTTTGTGGCAAGCAGACAGAAATTATTTTCTTACTCTGCTCCCAGAGCAGAAATCTGGACGAAGCTGCGTTTATTTGTTTAACACAATGATTTCATCCTAAATGTCTCGACAGCAAATAGTTGGTGGTTTAATAAAGGGCCTTTGAAAGGAGGCTGGAACTGGGGAAATGTGAGGCATGTGGCTCTCAGGGGCCAGGGGGCCTTAGCTGCTGAGACTGTGTGCCCCCCTCGGACTGTTGGGGAGCTGTGGGGGTCATGGTATGTTATTGCTCCCTGATCAGAACAATTCGTGCTGCTTCCATCCTGGAGAAGGAAGGAGACTGACCCTTTGGTCTTGAATGCCAGACCTTCCTCAAGACCAGCTCTGCCAAACGCAGACAGACATAACTACAAGCAGATACTCAAACCTGAGTGCAGAAAATAAGTCTTTTGTATTCATTTTTGCCTTCCCCTGATTAAAAATTATGTTCTGTGTCAACCAAATGTTGGTTACTGCTCTGATGCCAGCCTGGACTTCTGCAGCCAGGACTCTGATTAGGAGGAGAGAGAGAGCACACGGCCAGGTCTGGCCTACTGATTCCTCCAGTGAGCACACCCTTCACTCCAGCCATCCAGGACCAAAGCCCCCTGGAGCCTTCCAACCTGCAATTTGAAGTATCAACAAAAATGCAAAAGGAATAATTTGCGTTTCACTTCTTTTCCTTGGGAGGAATTATAAGGAGGAGTGATATGGCACAAATAGAGCACAGAAGAAAAGAACAAGGAGAAGGTGGTAAATGGTATTATAACAACTGCCCAGGCACCATGCTCATCAGAGCCCAGCCCATCTTTTCACAGAAGAGGCCCAGAGAGGTAGAGTGATATGTTTGAGGGTTTGAGACACAACGCTATTATAGGTAGAGCCATAGCTGCAACGAGGCATCCGCTTCTAGGGTGGAAGGGAAAAGAGCATAATGTAGCCTTACAGCTTACAAAAACAACAAGCTGCAGGACAGGTCTCATTTTTGCCAGTTGGGACTTGGATGGAATATCTGATTCTGTTCCTGGTGATTAGATCTGATTCAGTACCTGGTACAACAGAATCAGATCTGAATTAGCTCCCAGAATAGGCAAGAAGAGAATATATTCTCTCTCTCTCTCTCTCTCCCCCCCCTCCCCCCCCTCTCCCTCCCTTTCTCTCTCTCTCTCTCACACACACACCACACAACTATAAAAGCAATGCTTATTTATTGAAGATTCTATAAAATATGCGATTATAAATAAGACAAAAAATTACTCATAACTGCTTACAATATCTTACCATTAGCTTTGTTGTATATCTACTCTTACTCTCTTGCTTTGCTTCTATATGTTTTTATTATTATTGTTTTACAAAATTAAGATCCTAATTTCTTGATTCTTAAAATTACTGATTTTTTCTTTAGCAGATCCTATTTCATTAAGAGTTCTTTTTTTTTTTTTTTTTTTTTTTTTTAAAAGCATGCCTTTTGAAGGATGCTTGTTATGTTATGGTATAGTGTATTCCCAATACCCTAAAGCTGGTCATGGGACAGAGTATCTTTGAACAGGTCTTGAGGAACAGTCCCTGAAAGGTCGTGAGGCTGTGTGGGAGGTAGCCCTTAATTCTTGGTCTCAGATTGCTTTCAAATCCAACTGCCTGCCCTCACCCAGCCCTCTTTCATCTTCCCCACTTCTTCCTTCTTCCTTCTTTCTTCCCAGACCTGAAACTAACAGATATCCATTCCTTACATCTACATGATATTTTATAACCACAAGGAGTTTTTACCCCAAAAAAGTGGCCTCATTTTACTGTAATCAAAAGAAAGGAAATAATAGAATTTCTTATAACTTGGCAAAGCATTTACATTCAGCAAATGTTTTTTAGTGCCAACCATTGGCACTTTGACAGTCACTGAAGGAGGAACAAAAAATAAGCCAATTCTTATCTCCAGGAATTTGTAGTCTTGTGGGGGGCACTTACAAGAATTCAGGAAAGAATGACTATTCAGTAGAGGATGGCTATTCAGGGCTTAAGTGACTTACTTCTGTCACATGCTTAATCAGTAGCTCAGGGAAGTGTCCCCACACACCCTTGCTTTCTGGAGTCTATTCCCTCTGCCATGTAACTGTCAGTTGAGAGCAGGCCCTGAATTGGAAGGGAAAGGTCAGGACAAGTGGATGATGGGTAATCTGGTTTGGATGTGAGGTGTCCCCCAAAAGCTCACATGTGAGACAATGCAAGAAGGTTCCAAGGAGAAATGACTGGGCTTAAGAGTTTTAACCCAATCAGTGATTTAATCCTCTGAAGGGGATTAACCAACCGAGTGATAAATGAAGTGGTAGGGTGTGGCTGAAGGAGGTGGGCATTGGGGCGTGGCTTTGATATATATTTGTATCTGGAGAGTGAAGTTTCCCGATCACCATGATGCGAGCTGCTTGCCTCTGCTACCCTCTTCCACCACGATGTTCAGCCTCATCTCAAGCCCTGAGGAATGGAGCCAGCCTTTATGGACTAAGACCTCTGAAACCGTGAGCCCTCAAATAAACTCTTCCTCTTCTATAATTGTGCTGGTCAGGTCCTTTAGATATAGCAGCGAAGAAGCTAATTAAAACAATGGGGAAATCTTTTAAATTCCCCCTACCCCTTTATATCAAGCTCCAGTGAAAGGTCCTAACATTTGTGACCCCAGGTTTCCCTAAGAGGAATCACTGTGTGGACTGAAGCTTTCTTTGTGTTGGAGGTAGAAATGATGTCATTTATCTTTTAGTGAGCAAATGCTTGTTTGAGAGCAAACAACTACTCTATCCCTTAAAGGATAAAAAAGAAGAAAGGAAATAATAGCATTTCCATATACCAGTCTCTATGTTAGATATTTTACATATATCCTTTTGTTTCAATGATAATCACAAGAAACCCAACTGTTTTATTCATTGCTTAGGGCCTACACACTATTTTGGACCTAGTGCAATGCTTGCCACATAGGAAGCATTGGATAAGTGCTAAATGAATGAATGATGTCCATTTTATAGATAAGCAAATGGAGGGTTTGAGAGGTCAGGCAATTAGTACTAGGTCAGTTCATAGAGCAGTTAAGTAATGGAATTGGGATTGAAACCCAGTACACCTGTTCATGGGGTGTACATTTCTTACCACTTCACCCTTAGTGAGCTGTGTTTATGATGTAGCCACGGAGAACTATTCAGCTATCATGAACGTGGTGGCTTAAGAAAATATATAGTTCATTGTGCATGGACTGCCTTGCAGTTCATTTTTGCCTCTTTCTCCGATTCCTAGCACTTTGCTATGAAAATGGCTTTTGCTGGCGTTTGCTCTGTTTTCTCTAAGTCATTGGATGCTCATTTCTTACATCATAGCTTGCATTTGGGCTCTGATTCCTTGAGAGTAAAGAGTATGTAATTTTAAGTATGACAAAATACATAGTTTTATATTCTCTTCAGAAATGTGAATAAACTGGTCTCCTACTGAAGAAACTAAGGTAAAAAATAAAATTGTGTCAGTGTTATTTCTAGACGTGTCAGTATCTCATCACTAGCAATCCATCAGGCAGGGGAAAGAGAGCTGCTGAAAAAGCTGCTTCCTTAAGTCTTGGGATGTCCATGTTCTCATTTGGTTTGACTGCTCAGTCCAGCCAGGGAGCTAATGCTTAGATCTGAAAGGCAAGCTCTTGTTAGCAAGACTACTTGCTTAGCATGCACAGACTTAAAATCAATTTTATAGTCCATTGTATGCATGCATATGTGGGTGTTTAGAATTGTTTATGTTTCATGCATTTTCAAGATGTGACATTATGTAAAATTTGGAAAACAGAGGCTTATGAAATCAAATCAGAGCTAACTATGCTGAGGCTGAACACCATTTAACTTTTGTTCTGTCTGAATAGTGAGATCTTTGCTGATAGTATACATATTGACCTAAGAAAGCAATGATCTCTAAAGGGTTCTAGGCACTCTCTGGGAATATCTAGTTGATACTAAAAGGCCATAACAGGACTGTTTGGGAAAGAAAATTGATGCATGTCAAGGAAAGTTACTTTGGGCTCTGGAGGAGAACATTTGAAATTACTTTTTTGCTTTCTTTACCCCTCCCCCCAACCCAAGATTCACACCCCTTGCTCAAGTATGCAGTGAGCTTGGACAAAACCAGCAAATATTTCCTGGATTGCTCCAGTGTGATTTTCTGTCTTCGTCACCCAAGTGTGAGTCTCACCCAAACAATCTCTGGGTTCTTTCTTTCTTTCTTTCTTTCTTTTTTTTTTTTTAAGGAGAAGGGACTTTCTAAAAGAGATTGTTTTATTTTGCAACTTACAAAAAGCAATAGGATCCTTTCTGAAATATTTGTTTTGGACCTCAGAATGTAACCTGATGCTCCCAATCATCACTTTCACTTTTTGGAACTTAGACTGTATCTTGGGGCCTCATTAAGTTATCTAGTCAGTCTGTCCATTTCTAGCCTGAACCAAATCTAAGTGGTTCCATGTGCAGATGATCCAAGGAATTTATATTTTAACTACCTTTGGAGACCTGCAGTGTGTATTCCTGACATGCACGTATATAAATGATGTCGTTGGTTGGGGATACTAAGCAGATCATACATGTAGCACCTGGCCTAGAATAACTCACCTTCTATCTCAAAGCAACTAGGCAGCAGAATTCTCCAAAAGCCTCAAAGTACTACTAAATATAATAAATTCTCCTTTACTTATAATCAAATCATTTAAAGCTCAGTGATGACTTTTAACATTATTTTTATGACATTATAGCTATTATAGGTCAAAAGAACCACCCCCCCAACAAAACAATAACATTGAGTGAAAACTTTTATATAAAGCCTTCTCTATTAGAAAAGTTAGTTTTGGCCCCCAAACATCAGATTTTATGGGTTCCTATAAAATCATGACTATTTCTTAGCAGTTGGATTTTCCAAGCCTTGTAGTGAAATTCTTAGTTATATTAGTTCTTAAAAGTGAAGAATGAGTGACTTTGACTTCAGGGCAAATGGGGTAGTCATGCTTTTTATTTTTCCTGCCATTAAAACCCCTAGATATTATATATGAAACTAGTATAAGAAGGTTCTGATGAAAAAGAAGGCAGACCAGTTTAGGACATGAGGATCCAACAAGTGACATGGAGGTAAGCTTTCTGGACACTCTTTGGCCTCATAAATACTAGACTTGGAGCTAAAACAGTAAAAATTAAAAAAAAAAAAAACAACAGGAACCAAGAAATGCAAATTTGAACAGAGATTAAGAAAAACTCTGAATCTGTAGCTTAGCAAAATAAAAAATTTAGATAATAACCAAACTATTATTATATAACTATTCCAACCAAATCCCATAGAAAAAAATTGACCTTACCCTACCATGCCAACAAAGGCATAGACTCTCTTTCTCTCTCTCTCTCTCTTTTTCTTTGGTACCTGGGATTGAACCCAGGGGTGCTTAACAACTAAGCCATAATCCAGCCCTTTTTATTTTTTATTTTGAGACAGGACCTCACTAAGTTGCTTAGGGCCTTGCTAAATTGCTAAGGCTGGCTTTGAACTCACAATCCTCCTGCCTCAAGCCTCCTGAATTGCTGGGATTACAGGCATGCCCCACCACGCCAGGCAAGGCCTAAACCCTCCATCTTACAGGTTATAATGGGATGCCTCAACCTCCCTGCCATGATGGAGT